AGATATATATAGATCAGTGCAAGAAACATACGAACACGTACGTAAGACACACACGAGCCGCCTACACAGCGCGCCCGCACACCAGGGTAGCGACACGGCGCGCCGTCACTTATCAGGGTACGGCGGACGCGGCCAGCTTGGCCTTGGCCTTGCCGACGAAGCGCTTCCGGTCCGCTTCCACTTCCTGTCGTCGGCGCAGCAGCTCGGCGTTCTGCTCCTGAATGCGACGTATCCTCGCGTCCAACTCGGACTCGACGCCTGAAATTCAATGCCATGTACAGTTTGCCGCGGGACCGCACCTGCCTGCCTCCAACCAACCAACAACACACACGGCCGCTGCCCTCAACGTTGATAACGACGGCGGATCTTTGCACCGGCCGTGCCTTCGCAACGCGTGGGCCTATAGCGCATATATATACACGTGGGCTATACGTAGTGCATATATACACATACACGTTTACATATCGATGTTTATACGTGTATGCAGACGTCATCGTTCGAGGGTGTTTACGTAAAAAAACAGTAACGGCAACCGTAGCTTCTCCCGCCAAAAACAACAATGCGGTAAAAACTCGCATTCGTGCAGACGCGTAGCCGCTGTCCTCTCATTGGCACAAATGCGACACCCGGTCAACAATGGTTTCTTATTTATTATACCACCGGCAGCCAACAATAGCCATATAATAGTAGAAATAATACGGCAAATAATAGCCCATTGTTTAGTACCCCTTATATATATATATCAGGAGTAGATAATAGGTTCCCTATTATCTACTCCTGATATATATATACACGACATCGTAACGGTCGGAAAATGCGTGTAAAAATGTACACATATACGCCACACAATATCGTGCGAGTATATATTCGTTCCATCGGACAAAGTGATTAATAATCACTAAAAGACGGCCGCCAAAAAACAACAGACATTTTTCCACGGCTACGTATGCATTTACAGACGTTTATGAGATACACTCGCACTGTTAGCTACTACTATATCGTACAGCCTTGCTGTGCCAGCAGGCTTTGTACTGCACAGCTGTGCCGAGGAAGAGATAACGACCGAAGAGATGGGCGACCAAAGAGCGACGAAATACTAGAAACCATGGTACTGAGGAAGCTACTAATCTACTAAGAGCTACTAATCGATTAGTCACATATACACAAAGAATGCGCACGCACGCACGCACGCACGCACGCACGTCAGCACAGATACACTATACATCGTGGTATCAGAAGTGCAAAAATAGCAGAGATCAAATATCTGAATATGACTAATATAATTGCAATCCTCAGCTATTCTTCACATCTGAGAGTACTATAATATATATATATATATATATTATATGTGTGTTATATATATTATATTATTATACTATATAACATACTCGTCATTTCTGGGAATGGCACAGAGAAATATTTGTGACGGGACCAACAAGCACGTAATCAAGTTAAGTTGAAGCAGTTACCTAATTGAAAGCCTCCGTTGCACGTAATTCAGGCAGGTTAAGCCCAAAAAACCGATACACCTAAGGTTCACGATATGCACCCAGTCACTGAATTATCACAGAGCGAATACTCCAGCTTCCTATAACATCAAAACCAAGAAAATATACATTCGTTGTTGAGTATTTAACTTACATGCAATCCGCAATAATTTCCTTGTCATTATTCAACATGTTCCAAAGCGATGCTGATTCGTGACCGAGCTATGGTTGAACTTTTTACCCGAGCGGCTATCGCGTCGTCAGGCAGATAAATAAAAAGAAGGCATTATTTCCAGAGCCACAAACATAGGAGTAAGCTAATCAAGAGAGAGGAAATAAGCGCCATATAAGAACCAGGTATACATTCTCTCTTGATAGTATTTGGAGTATACTATCGGGAAAGACTATAAAAGGTAAACAATATAACCACTGGTCTCTCAAGGGCTCAGCTAACACGAGCTTAAGAACATGCACTTCGAGATTCTTCTGAGAATTCAACAGGCTCATAAACTGAGGGAAAAGCATTTGACCGGTGCCAGCGGAAGCACCCCCTTGAGATTCTTCACGTATGCCAGATGCCTACTTGTCCACCGCAGAGTTTCAAAACTAGGTTACAATATCACGGGGCGCACCCAAAATATCAGCCTCAATCTTTTGCCAATTAGGCACTAGATTACATGCGCTTACACTCCTTCAATCCTAAACAATGTTCTATCAGTTGTGCATATTAGTTAGCATAACCCTGTATCTAGTTGCCAGATGGGTCTGGCGTTTTCTTTTAGCATTGAATATAGCCACTACTTAACCAAAACTGCAATCTCTTGAAGGCGCCGGAAGTAAAAAAAGAAAATGGCAAAGCTGCGTTTTAATCGCGTATTTTGCGCAGAACGAAATGAATTTATTATCGATGAGATACATGAAGTTTAGCACTAGATCTATTGAGACACCAATATCACTTTAAAATATAAGTTCTCAAAAATATGATAATATTATTACTGTATTAGAAAATTTGCTTTTTCGTATGACAGACTCCACAAATTTCGCGATTCTATTTTGTGATTAATATGTGAATAAATGTGATTAATCAATTAATTTCTCTGTGAAAATTTGTTTCCGAAATAGAAACCAATATTGATGCAAGCTATGGATAAACTACCTTGTTGATCAACAAAAGCTACAAAATCACGTTGTTGATGTGCACTATTAAGAAGAGAAGTAGGCTTATGGGCTACAATAAAGATTGCACGCAACTCCGCTACCTCACAATGACAAGACTGCGGAAAAAAAAAAAAAACCAGCTTTAACGTGATGAGCCTAAGAAAGTATAAGACCAAGCAAATAAAATTATGCACAAATCACTGAAACCGATTGCAACAAGGGCATGCAACCCTACTTTGCCTAAGAAACGTTAAAGAACAATTCAATAAGGGAATCGAGGGTAAATCGCGGGATTCGAACACGACTAATGTAGGCCGAGAAAAATAAAACCCTGCAAGGGAAAACCTGGGCCAATTTGAGTTTAATGAAATGTCCGGACTACATCACACCCTTATTTTTGCTCCCGTCCTTTTCATAACTACCCAGTTAAAAACACCTCGCCTTAAGCAATGTTGTTATAGTTTTAAAAGGCCAAACTGGAAATTAAGGAACTTTAGACAGGTGTGAATGATCGAATTCTTTACGAATCGAAAGTTAATAGCGTGTAATATAAGGTGTACTGGCCTACCAATAATTAGCTGTCCAAAATACGAGGCAAAATAACTAGCGTTCATTATGTATGGAGAAAAAATATTTACCAAATGCTAATCTTAACGTACCTCAATTATACCATCAAGCACTAAATAACCCATAATTTATATATATTCTATACGAAGAGTAGATAATAGGTGTAATTCCACGAATTATCTTACCTTCTGATATATATAATATATATCTATAATATATATATATATTAACGCGCAGAGATATATTCTGCAAAAATTAATTGCTTTTCCAAGGTTGACCTTAATTGTACATAGCAAAAAACCATGATATCCCATAAATTGCAACCATTCTTAATCAGCCCAGATATGGCTAACCCTGGCTTGGTAACCGACAAGTTACGTTTACTACGGTATAACTATCCACAAATTCAAGAAATGGATAGCACACCACGACTATTGAAAATAAGAAAGAACCAAAAGAAAAGAAATTGCGGATGCTCACCCTTCAAATACAGACACAGGTACATGGGAGAACACTGCCAGCGACGAAGAAATATAGAAGAAGTACTTCATCGATTAATGATGATAATACACTAAACATACTAACACGCTATCTTTGAGACCGACTATTTATGTGTGGAAAAACATGCAAAAATATTTTAAGATCCTGTAATGACTGGATGGTCACCAGCAGGCTACGACGGTAGACACGCTTGCACATTTTGACGGGGCAGGCTAGTGAAAAATTTGGATATGGTACTAACTATTAATTCTTAAAAGAAGGGGCGATATGCCAGCTGGGCTCCCCCATCCCATTAGCACAGCACTTGGACACGTTTTCGCATGAGAAGCTTTAGAGAAAAAAGTTGACCAATTGCCTGTCACAGCATGTCACAAATCATCGAGTACAGACATGCACGTGGCGTGCACTAGGTGGCCCACACAGGGGTGGTAAATACCCCACCAAAAACGCCCACCAGCACCCACGCCGCTTCTTCCCCTGACCTAAAGGCTGACCGATTGTGAAATGTCATATATGACATTTGTACTTCAAAAGATATGGTATAGGAAAATAAATTGACGCCCTGGTATTCCCTGACCCTTTACACTGGCATGCGTATAGTACTGTGTATACCTTACAAACTATGAAACTTATAATGTTAAACACTGTACAGTTTGAGGCAAATAAATTCTAACCTATTAGCCTATGTACGCTCGCATCATACCATTAGGATTCCAAAATCGAAGAGCGCAAGCAAAAAAATTCCTTTAATTAGCGGGCGGAGAACCTGTACCCAGAAATAATGAAATTTCTAAATTACTTTCAATAACGAATAAAAAGACAAGATTTAAATACTTACCAGGAGATAAGATAATATGGGGAAGGAGTCTGACGTATCAAATAAACTGCCAAAAAGGACATAAATCTCTGTTTATGATAGATTAGTAATCATAATTCCCACCTAAGCCTTAAAGGGAATACACAAATAATCCGATTTACTACGCGTAACTGCAAACAGAACTTGAGCTCAAAAAATCCGTACCGACCCAGTAACATTCCGCATACATCCCGTGGGCGCAAATCGTTTCCCTCCGTATACCACCGACCGCAAATCCGCGGACGATACACAGACAAAACGTACAACATCGAAAATTTTCCCATTAATGTGGGCCAGCCAAAAAACTGAATGTGTAAACCACCAAAAAAACGCGAACAAAAAAAAGATGGCTAAACTCAACGACTCCTTTGGCCAACCCTCCGCGATGCGGTGAGATGGGGCGTCCGCTGAGAGATCTCTAGTAGTGTGATGCTTAGAAGGGTCCCGCTAGCTTTGAGACAGCGAGCATGCCCCTTTTTGCGGTTTTACGGAAGGTTAGCGCAGTTTACACATTCAGGTGTTGCTTGGGCAGCATTATTAAAGGAAAATTGTGTCGTAGCCGTTTAGGCTACTGTATGCATCCGGAGTTGGGCCCGGGTGGTAGGTAAGGGCACGAAGGGAGGAGCAACGTTTACACCGATGCCTAAAGGTAAGCGGAAACACTGTACTGGTTGTAACTGATCTTAGCT